TGCTACGTCTAGGGGGTGCTGCTGCTGGAGACACTGAGGCTGGAGACCCTGGGACTGGAGGTGTCGGTTCTGGGGGTGCTGCTGCTAGAGACACTGAGGCTGGAGACCCTAGGACTGGAGGTGCTGGTTCTGGGGGTGCTACTGCTGGAGGTGCTGGCGCTGGAGGTTCTGGAGCTGCTGGAGGTGCTGGAGCTGCTGGAGGTGCTGGAGCCACTGGAGCTGTTGAAGCTGCTGGTGCTGGTGCAGCTACGCCGACACGACTGTTCTTCGCTCCGCCGTCTCCGTCGTCTCTGCCGTCGCCTGACTCTGCTCTTCGTCAGGTTCTTACCCTTCCGTCGTCTACTGGTCTTCCGTTACTGCCTGGCTCACCGCTCCCTGCTCCTCCTCCTTACACTGAGCAGCCCGGTGGTCTTGCTGAGCGTCGTGAGCCTGCATCGCGTCCTGTCTCGCCTGTTCGTCCTGGTCATACCGGTCGTCGTGTTCCTCGTTCGCGTCAGCCGGCTGTCCCCGGTACACACCTATCTAGTAGTCCGTCGTCCTTCCTCTTCTCCGCAGCCTGTTCCTCTGCCGTCTCCCCCTGCGTCCTCTCTGCCTGACGTTGCGGACCCTGAGTCTGACCGCTTTCGTGCTGCACACCCTACTGTCACGCGTCTGTTAGCTACTGTTGTCACTGACCCGTCGTTTGAGTCTACTGCTGCGTCTGCCTTGGTCGCTGAGCTTGTTGACTTTGCTGCTGCCTGTCGTCTAGACTACGCCGCTAGTCTTGTTGCTGAGTCTGAGTCTGTCTGTCCTCCGTCCGTCAGGGGTGAGTGTGCTCTTGGCACGGACGTCCTTGAGGACACGCAGGAGGACTTTGAGTGTCTTGCAGCCGCTGCGCCTCATCTCGTGTCCATGAGGGAGACCCGGATGCACCAGACATCCCGACCCCGCGCTCTTACGCTGAGGCGATCGCGGGTGAGTACTCCTCTCAGTGGGACACAGCCATGGATGCAGAGATGGCATCCTGGAAGTCCACAGGCACTTACGTCGATGAGGTTCCCCCTCCTGGGGCGAACATCGTCGATGGCATGTGGATTTTCTGGGTGAAGCGGCCGCCAGGTTCTCCGCCTGTCTTCAAGGCTCATTACGTTGCTAGAGGCTTCAGTCAGCGTGAGGGAGTTGACTTCTTCCAGACCTTCTCCCCTACCCCGAAGATGACCACTCTTCGGGTGCTGCTGCACGTTGCCGCTCAGCGTGACTACGAGCTTCACTCTCTTGACTTCAGCACAGCCTTCTTACAGGGCAGCCTGCACGAGGAGATCTGGCTGCGCCACCCACCTGGCTTCACTGGGTCGTTCCCTCCTGGTACCCAGTGGAGCCTCCGCCGGCCAGTCTACGGTCTCCGCCAGGCGCCTCGTGAGTGGCACGACACACTGAGGACTACACTTGCGGCTCTTGGGTTCGCTCCTTTGACTGCTGACCCGTCGCTGTTTCTGCGCACCGACACTTCGCTGCCGCCGTTCTACATCCTCATGTACGTCGACGACTTGGTCTTTGCTACTGCTGACACTGAGGCTCTCGCTCTGGTGAAGTCGGAGCTGCAGAAGAGACACACGTGCACTGACCTGGGTGAGCTGCGCAGCTACCTTGGCTTGCAGATCACCCGGGACAGAGCACGCCACACCATCACACTAACTCAGTCACACATGGTGCAGCAGGTCCTTCAGCGCTTCGGCTTCACCTGGTCCTCCCCACAGCCCACTCCGCTGGCTACAGGTCACTCGCTCTCAGCTCCACCTTCAGACGAGTCCGTAGAGCCGAGTGGTCCTTATCCAGAGCTAGTGGGCTGCCTCATGTACTTGATGACCTGCACTCGACCTGACCTCGCGTACCCTCTTGGCCTTTTGGCTCGCTACGTGGCTCCTGGTCGGCACCGAAAGGTGCACATGGATGCTGCGAAGAGGGTACTGCGCTACCTGTGCAGTACATCGGGCATGGGGCTCGTGCTTGGAGGACGGAGCGCCGTTGTCCTCACTGGACACTCTGACGCGTCTTGGGTTGACGACCAGGCTACGCAGCGGTCGTCACAGGGTTACACCTTCAGCCTTGGCTCTGGTTCTGTTTCTTGGCGGTCTACGCGCTCGTCTTCTGTTCTCAGCTCCAGTTGTGAGGCTGAGATCTACGCCACAGCCATGGCTGCACAAGAGTTACGCTGGCTCACCTACCTACTGACCGACTTGGGAGAGAGGCCTCGTTCTCCTCCAGTTCTGTACGTCGACAACAAGGCCGCCATTGCCTTGTGTCAGGAGCACACACATATTGGAGCATATGCGTTACTTCCTGGCTCGAGAGTTGCAGCAGCGTGGTCAGCTTCGTCTTGCTCACGTGGCCACCAGGGCCAACACTGCTGATATCTTCACCAAGGCACTTCCGTCTGGTGATCATCAGCGCTTTTGTACTTTGTTGGGCCTTGTGCCTACGTTTCCACACTTGCTGTAGACTTTGCTTGTACTGTGATCTATACATATATACCTGCATGCTTGCTCTTGCTAGATAGTGATCACTGCTCTGTTGTTGCTGCATATGTACCTCTGCATGTGAACTGGCCTTGTGGCCCTTTGCTTGTGCTCAGTGTGTGTGGTGACGTTGTGATCCACCCTGAGCTTGCTTTGCTTCTCTTGACTGGTCGTGTGACCCTTTGTTCTCCCCCACTTTGCCTATGGAGGTGTGTCAAACTACGTGTGTTATATTTGTGTAGGCTGTAGTGGGGTAGCCAATATGGGGTACATAACTGCTAGGGTTTCATACTTGTACCCAACTCTGTTCTAGTTCAATCATTCCTGTCTCTAGTTTCTGACAATTACTGCTCTCGAAAAAGTCGCCCATCGTCACCTTGGTTGCTCCCCTCTTGCTGAGCTTCCCCTCTTGCTGAGCTTCTCCTCTTCCCCCTGCATTCTCGTACCAGACAATCAGCCCCTTGGATTCTTCTCATTGGTGCAGCTGCTAAGACTCTTCGGAACGCAAGATGCAAGCGGAAGTTTCACGACTCCATGTCATCCCACTTCGAAATTCTCCAACTCATCCTCGATCAATTTCTCCTCGCCTTCAAAATCTTCATGTGGTGCACGAATAAGCAATCTCGAAAGAAACAGCAACGGTCTTTCTCTCGCATCAAGACAGCCTTACGCCTCCGCTTTATCCTTTTTTACCCCAACGTCGCTCCCACTATCCATCCTGATTTACGTGTGTCCTGGCTTCTTGGGAACCCCTTCCGTCCTCCATAAAATTAATCCCCGTCATAGAGCGCTCCTCCAGGCAGCTGGTAGATATCCCGTAGGGGATTGGGGAAATACGTGTTTTCCGCTAGGCAGTTGGTTTTTTCCATATTCCCTTCTTGCTCTATGTATGTTTGTACATTGGTCACGACCATAATATAACCTGCAGTGGGCAGGGTGAAGGTTGACTAAAGACTCGTTACTGGCAGCGCACCCTTCTCGACACTCGGAACTTGCGAGCGAAATTCCTCTGTGCCTTGGATCTTGCGTACGAAATTCCGCTCTGTTCCGAACGAGGCGCTCGGCTGGCTCGTGCAGACACACGCCAGTGCAACGCGCACCGACGTGCGGTGCTTTGTGCACTTTGGTCGGCTGACAGCGACTTTGAAGAGCGTGCTTCGATCAACGACAACATCCATCCGTCAATCGTCGACGCGTCCACCAACATTGACGCCCATCAGATGACGGATGGATATTTTTTTTTTTGGGTTGCGAAGCAACCCTTTACGATCGATTTTGACAAATTTTATTTTCATGGTTTTTTTAAATAAAACATGAAAATAAAATTCGTAAGCTACAGTACCACCTTGTGCATGTTGAACATTTTTAAATATTGATAGCAGTTTTTGTAGTAGTTTTGTGTGTAAATGCTATACTGCTTGTATATATTTTACTGTTTGATGTTGTTGTTGGGTTGCGAAGCAACCCCTTACGATCAATTTTGACAAATTTTATTTTCATGGTTTTTTTTAATAAAACATGAAAATAAAATTCGTAAGCTACAGTACCACCTTGTGCATGTTGAACATTTTTAAATATTGATAGCAGTTTTTGTAGTAGTTTTGTGTGTAAATGCTATACTGCTTGTATATATTTTACTGTTTGATGTTGTTGTTGGGTTGCGAAGCAACCCCTTACGATCAATTTTGACAAATTTTATTTTCATGGTTTTTTTAATAAAACATGAAAATAAAATTCGTAAACTACAGTACCACCTTGTGCATGTTGAACATTTTTTAATATTGATAGCAGTTTTTGTAGTAGTTTTGTGTGTAAATGCTATACTGCTTGTATATATTTTACTGTTTGATGTTGTTGTGATGATTGCATGTAATAAATGTTATGAATATTACCGGTAGTAATGAATTACACGCCACGCATGCTTAAATGGATGTAATGATGAAGCATGATATATAGATGCATAATACCGATACACGCATGAAAATGCTTTTGTATGCACGTGATATGCTGAAATGTATCACACCAGTATATCATACAAATGCGTGATAGTTAACGACCCAAAAACTAGGCTACCGCATCCCCTGCCTAGCATGGGGGGGAAGTCAATAGCAAAGTTTTTGAATAATCAACTAGCACATGAAACAATACAATCTGTTAACTCTAAAAAAGAGGTTCACTCTATCAAATCCAGTTCGAAGTGGCAAACACACGAGTCACTGAGTGCGCCAATGAACCAATGAGAAATGATAGAATTGAACCCCCTTTTTAAAATTAACAGACATGCATTGTTATTGCAATGATAGATGAGATGAATGCACTCAAACAAGCAAACACATTCACACAATAAAAAACACGAACACCGGCAAACCCAGCAAAAAACAAGCGATAATGAATAACATGCAAATCAACGTTAAATGACAACATGATAAATCCTATACGTGACCAACACATTTTTTTCCAGATTGAAATCGTCGTCCTGAACAGCAAGGCTCCTGAGAAACGGGTTTAGGAAGTGGAAAGGAAGAAAGAGGGAGAACGAGAGAGAAAATGAGAGAAAGAGAATAAGAGAGAGAGAAAACGAGAGAAAGAGAGAGTGAACGAGAGAGGGACAGAACGAGAGAGAGAACGCGAGAGCGAGAACGAGAGAGAGAGAGAGAGAGAGAGAGAGAGAGAGAGAGAGAGAGAGAGAGAGAGAGAGAGAGAGAAGAGAGAGAGAGAGAGAGAGAGAGAGAGAGAGAGAGAGAGAGAGAGAGAGAGAGAGAGAGAGAGAGAGAGAGAGAGAGAGAGAGAGAGAGAGAGAGAGAGACGGGAGTACGAGAGAGAGAACGAAAGAAAGACGTAGAACAAGGTGAGAGAGAGACAGCGCAAACCGGGGTGTAAGTGAGCTAATGTAAGCAACCGAAGCAGAGGGGGAAAACAAAAGAAACGAACAAAGGTAGGAGAAAGAAGAAGAATCGATAAAAGGTAGAGGAACCTACAGAGAAGGCAGGGATAGACAACTTTAAGAAATGACAAATCAGAAGAGAAAACCAAAAGCAAGGAAGGAAATCGAACAACAGAAGCTCATAACAGAGGCAAAACAACTTGATACAAAACAACAAGACGGAAGAAGAAGATAATGAAAAGGATCCAATACGAAACAATAAATAAAGAAAGGATATAAATATTCGTACTTAATTCTATTTAACTCTACCTATTTTGCACACTCACACTCTCCTTCACATTTCCCAAACTCTCTTCATGCTCTCTTTCCTACACTCTCATATTCTGTCACTCCCACATTCTTTATCACGTTTTCGCACATGACTTTTAACTACTCCCTCACATCTTTCACAATTTAAACTCACCTTGTTCTGACGGCATGCTCGTGCCCTTCGTTGCTGCCGCCGCCGCTTATAAAACGCATGATGCTGAGCGTGGCGCAATTGCCTCTAGTGCGCCCGGCACCAGCAGAACGAAGCCAGTGCGACTTGCACCAGCAAAACAACGTTAGCAAGGGATAAAGAAGGAAGAATGACGAAGAGAGACGGACGAGGGAGTGAGAGTCCAGCGAGAGATAGAAGCAAAGGAAAGAAAGAACATGAAGAAACTAGAATATGGGTTGCTAAATAGAGGTAGACAAAACATGAATATAGAGGATGGTAAAAGGAGAAGGTAGTTACACCAAACTCTGGTAAAAAACGGCGTCTAAATCTCCTCAAATATCTTCTAAAAAGTCTACAGAGCTTAAGAATAGAGGTAACTAAACTTACGTAAGGACCTGTAGGTGGCGTTTGTGGCGTAACTGGCGTGAGTGGCGGGACTGGATGGAGAACCTTGAGTAGTTGGAAGAGAGGAAAAGAAGTTTCTCGAAACCCTAGGTCTTGAATTTTTTCAACATTGGTAAGTGTACAATAATAGGACGCAATCATAGGACTTCTGATTTGACACAGCGGTTCGGCTCTGCAGGAATACGCGGAAAGTCACAGGTTCGAATCCCGCGATGACCGAATTCGTCATGATCGAATTTTGTCATGGGGAACGTCAGGAAGTCTGGTTAACTTTTTTGCTGTTGCGTTTTTGTTACAACACTTTTTTTTTCTTTTTGTTCTTACACTTAACACTATCAACTTCTAGTGTGAGAAACACAAAGCACAAAGCACCATACAAGTATCTAGCAAATTTGAATGAATATGGAGAAAAAAACTTTAAAATCTGAAGTAATACTCATCAATTTAAAAGCTTTGCATCTTTGAAACATTGTTGTTGCATCATGCATTCCATACAAAACGGAAGCTCAAACGCAAACGCAAACATAGGAAACGCAAACGCTTCGCAACCCTAAGACGATTTCGTCGCCTCTTGTTTTTTTTTTTTTTTTTGAATTGTAAGTATACATGGTGTAGTTGATGCATACAAACAATATCGGTCGTAACCGCTTTAAGCGAGGGCAGGGCCGACTGCCCCAGCGGGTGTCTACGGCGGGTTGTACACTGTCTTAGGATTGGACCAGATGGACTCGAAAGATCTTGTCCAGGTCCACTTCTTGTCGTCAGCTTTCTTTATCCTGCTTAGAAGGCGATGTTCTTCCAGTAATTCTTTTTGGAGCTTGCCAGCTCGCGCCGTGTTCTTCCTTTTCTGCCACGTGGAGTGGCGGGCCTTCACATAGACCCGTGCATGCTGCCTGAAGGCGAAGATAATCCTCCTCAGCACTCTCCGCGCACGAAATTTCTTCCCCCGGAAGACCGCCTCGCATCTCTCCAACCAGAGCTGGTGCAGCGTAATTGCAATCAATGTCGCCTCCGGAAAAGCAGTGTGCGAACCAGCCTTGCGGAACAGCAGATCCCCCAGAGACTCTGTTTCGCGGAGCGGGTTGATGAGGCGGAGCGATTTCTTCAGCGCCGACACCACCATCTGAATCTTCGGGCAGGTGAACAGACAATGTTCAAGTGTCTCCTCACCCCCGCAGTGTGGACACATCGGTTTGTCCGCCAGGAAGGCCAATCTCTCCCCCACTTGAAGATTGAAATTGTACACCCGTGTCAACATGTCCCTCGGTCGGTTGGGTGTGGCAAGTGATTCTCTGATGCCCGTGATAAGCCTCCAGTTTATAGAGCCCTTCCACTTGCCGGCCCATCTCAGCATCCTGTGTGACTGCCCGCACTGCCCCTTCTAGTGGCTCCTCATCTCCTTGAGCGGAATCACCCCCCCGTCTCTCAAGATTGGCAGCTGCGGGAGTCGCCTCCAGTCCCCCGGGGTAGAGCCAGCCGAGCTTGCAGGAGGGGTCAGCAAGCAGGTTCTCCATTCCTCAGGCGCTGCTGCGAAACCCCTCAGCGCAAGTCTAGCCGGCCCCTTGCCTCCTAGCCTCGCTGTGAGCTCCTCCATGGTTTTCAGCACCCAGCTACCGTCCTGCAGTCGCTTCACCATGTCTCCCAACCGAAAATTCCAGAGTGGTTCAGCGTCTTTCTGTCCTCCCACAGGCGTGGCTGTTCCGACCATGATTGCCCTGTTGAACACTAGCCTTTCCTCCGCAACTGCTTCCCGCGAAACATTAACCGTTTTGATGCAGAGCGGCGACTTCATGAAAGTTTCACACGTCTGCTTCCACCTCTGACTTCTCCCTTCCCAGTGTCGCAGGAGGCGGTCATGTGACATGAAAGTGTCCAGCCCCAGCGGGAGATCTGCCGCTTGAATCATTAATTTCCGCTTCAGCTGGCTCGTCTCTGTCAACATCAGACCGACTCTCCTCGCGGCTAGACATGCGAGCGTGATGCTTGGGTCCCTCACCCCCAGGCCACCCTCACTCCGGGGGGTGTACAGCAGCTCTTTGCTCCAGAGAAAGAAACCCCGCGTCGATGTCGCTTTGTTCCCCGAGACAAAGTTGTGAATCATTCTCTCCAGCTCCCCCCATATCTTCGCAGGTGGCGGGTAAACCTGCGCCTGGAAAGTCATAATCGGCTGGATGTAGTCATTCGCCACCGCTCCCCTTGCTTTCTCCGTGAGATATTTTTGCCTCCATTTCACCAGCCTTTTCGCAATCTCCTCCAGTGCCTTCTCCCAGGTGGGGAGCCCGCTACCGTCCGGGGTGACCCATACACCCAGCATTCTCTCTGCATCGTCCGGTTCCGCCCACTTGAAGGTACTGCTCGTCGGTGCCTTGTACCCACGGTTCCGACTGAGTGGTAAGACGACTGTTTTTTCCACGTTTATGCACAGTCCCGACTTCTTCGCGAACTTTGTCAGGATGCCCTCCGCCCTAACAATCTGCTGCTTCCCTTGCAGAGCCAGCGTGGTATCATCCGCGTACCCGAGGTACGACAGCCTCTCCCCGCCAATTTCCAGCCCCAGCTTTTTCCGCTCCACATCCTGCACCAGCGGCTCCACTGCGCACAGGAACAGGTACGGGGCTAAAGGGCACCCTTGGCGAACTCCTGACACCACCTCAATGCCTTCACCCAGCCAGCCGTTGAGCAACATCTTCGTTGTAGTGTGTGAGTGCAGGCCTTCAACCCACGACACAAAACGCTCCGGGAAGCCCATGCGCCTCAACACTTGGAAGATAAAGCCCCTCGACACAGAGTCGAAGGCTTTTTGAAAATCAACGAGCAGCAGGAACCAGTCTTCACTCTTGTTCTTTGCCGCATCTATGATGTCTGCGACCAGCGCGACCCCGTCTGTGAGCCTTCTCCCAGGAATGAAGCCATATTGATCCGGGGAGATCACCCGGTGCAACACCTTCTTCATCCGTTCTGCCAACACCTTGGCCAGAATTTTGTACGTGAAATTCAGCAGCGAGATTGCCCGATAGTTCCCCAGCTGATCCTTGTCTCCTTTTTTGTGCAGGAGAATCGTTACAGCACCCTTCACCGCATCCGGGAGGGCCGCCGTCTCCGAGAAATCCTTGACCAGCGCCATGAAGCTCTTCCCCAGGAGGTCCCAGTTGGCCTCGAAGAACTCTTTTGACATGCCGTCACTGCCCGGCGACTTGTTTTTCGCCAGTGACGCGTAAGCAGCCTGCACCTCCTCCTCGGTCCAGTCTGCATCCAATCCCACTGCTTCACGAGCTCCCAGCTGTCTGTCCCTCACAGGCTTCCAGTCACTGAAATCAAGCCTCTTGTCCTTCCCGAAAATCCCTCTGAAATAGTCTGAGGCTGCTGTGAGTATCTCTTGCGCACCTGACACTGAAGTCCCTCCAACGCTAACCTCTGTTATCATTGTCCTGCTTTTCCGCGTTTTGGTCAGGGCCGACAACTGCTTCCCGGTGACCTCCCCAGTGTGTTCCATGTCCAGGCCCGCCAACAGGTGCTGCCGGTCTCGCTTGTTAGACAGGTATTCTTTCAGCGACACTTCTTTTTCCTCAAGAAGACCGCGCAGACGGCTACAGCTCGGATCAGCCATTACTGCCAGCCGAAGAGCTGCCACAGCCGACATCAGGTGAGTGAACGTCGCCCGAATGCGTTTACTCTCCTCCCTTGTATATGCACGCAGACGCACGTTAAGCCTTGCCAGCAGCAACTCGAAGCTTTTACCATCTGTTACCTGTATTTTTGATAATACCTCTTCAATGATCCGCCGAACCCCGGGTCTGTTTACCATTGCAGCCTGCATCCTCCAGATACCTGGACCCAGCCGCGCCTTGGTGTCAACCTTCAGGGTAACCTGAACCGCGAAACCATGATCCGAGATTTTGTCAGCGGGGGTGATGTGTGCTGAGTCAGCAAGAAAGGGTAAGAGCGAGAGAGAGATCAGGGCTCTGTCAATGCGGGAGCTAGCATTCTGCGACGGTGAGTAGAAGGTGAATTCTCTGCTACGTGGGTAGAGCGTGCGAAAGGCATCCGAAAGCTGGAAGGCCTGACATTGGTTGAAGAGCCTGTCGTTTTCAGCTGATGTACCATGGCCTGACATGCGATCAAGATCTGGATCTTCCACCATGTTCAGATCGCCGATGATCAGGAGATAAGAGCTCGGTGCTACCTGATCAACGACCGGACCGAGGGTGTGGAGGACGAAAGGGGTTCTGTGAGCTAAGTCGGCTGGAAAGTAAACTGCGAGAAGAGTGAAACGGATGCCGTGACCGTGGACATCAGTGCGGATGATGCGGCCTGAGACATGAGGTGATGTGTTTGAGAAGGTAAGAGCTGGGTTTCTGCAAAGAATGGCAACTCCGCCTGCTTTTGCTTTGGGAGTGGCTGCTGCGACAGTCTGGAAACGCTGTGAAGACCAGTAAGGGTGAGAATCTACTAATCTAGTATCTGTAAGTACCACTATATCTGCTGCATCTTTTAACCACTCTGTGACCCTATCTTGCTTAACGCCGTCTCCTAAGCCGTTGACATTGAGACCGGCGACTGAGAGGAGGTTTTTCTTGTTAATCATTTAATCACTGCCTTGCAGCCCTTCGTCATCCACAGGCTGATAAAAGCGATGGTACAACCTACACTGACTACCGAACAGATACGAGCTGCAGTTGCGAGGGTGGAGTTCAGATGCCGTAGTCTTTCTTGATAACCGCAAGGCTGGTCTTCTCGAGCGAGGTCTTTGTTGCTGTGCCTGTCTTCTCCAAGTTGGTCAGGTGAGCCGCTGAGATGATGTGGTCGGAGGCTGACATGAAGCATTTGCCGTGAGCTTTCATGCAGCCGGCCTGAGTACACAGCCACTCCTCCCTGTTGCTTCCCGTAGAGATCAGGGCCAAAGCAGGATCTTGCAGCAGGGGAAGAATCAGCGACGAGGCCGGCAGAGAGGCGGCTGCAACAGTCAGGCGAAAGGTTAGTAGGCGGTAAGATAATGGAAACCGAGAGTTTGTTAGTAAGAGAGCGGAGCCGGGATCTGTTACCGTTAAGCCTGAGCGCTTTACCCAGGGTCAGGTTCCATTTCCCTACGTTAGTTTGGCGTTCGGTGACAAAAGCATTATGATACTTATCATAGTGCTGACCACCACAGAGCGCACAAACTAGCGAAGGATAATGGACCATGAGCCTGCTCGCGTTGTTAGCAGGGTCGGCGATTGCGTGGAGCCAGCGGTGCTTGTCCCCAGGGTGAGCGTAAACCAATCCCTTGACAATGTCCGTATCGGCGCCAGTGACCGGGTGAAGCACACGGTGAAAATTGGAGCTGCGCAGGAACGCAGGCCTCTTGCGGCTGGTAAGCGGGTACGTAGACAACCTCCTTGTGATCATGTCCAGCTCCACTGTGGCCGCAACTCCCTTGATGATAACTTCAATAGCCTCCGGGTGGAAGGCCTTCTCCCTTGAAAAAGCCGCATCCTCTGTGTGTTGCCAGTGCAGGGTGACCAGGTCCCCCTTCAGCCGCTGATACATCACGTCCTTGCGCTTCACCACATCCGCATCTGATTCATGGACGAAGGAGACCTGAAGCCTGCAGAAGCGCTCCTTGGCGAAATAAGCAGCAGGTAACTCCTGAAACTTTGTAGAAGGCGTAGAAGCCTCTGCTGAAAGTTCTGCATTCCACCCCCGTTTAATCAGCATACGAACAGCAATGATAATGCCTGAAATTTCCTTGTGCAGGGCAAACGGAATAAGCAGAATGATAGCGGTACGAAGACGACATTCCGCTTCCAGGGACAGATCCATCTCCATTTCGTCATCCGAATCTTCAATGAAGCCATCATCGTCAAAAGGTGAGTCGTCGACGACGGCTTTCCCTTTGGTCGCATTGTCTGCAGCTTTATCAGCAACTCTGAGACCAGATCCGCCGGCCGAAGCAGGGACATTAACTGCAGCATTTGAATCTTCCTTGTTCGGCGACAGTGCAGGATCATCCGGGCTGTTAACACCAGTGTCCACAGGAGGAGCAGGAGGGTCCGTAGTGGTCTTGGAGCGCGAGCCCTTAGGCGGAGCCATGGTGTGATGATGAGGAAAAAGCAGCTCTGCCTTGTGCGAGGCGAGACGCTCCAGGAGAAAAAGATGTGATCTCAAGGTGGAAACCTCGAAAGCGTATTCCTTAATAGTGTTGATGACGAACATGTATGCTGTTGAAAGCTTAAGCTCCAAAACGCCATTGAAATCGGACTGCTGGACAGATCCCAAGGAAGCCTGATGAACACCTGAAAGTATCGCGTGATAACGCTCGAAGCCGCGATCAGCATAAATGATGGGTCTTCGTGTTCGTATGTTACAGACGAAGGTGTTGGTTAAACCAGATGCACCAATAGAGGCTCCTAGCGAGGACATTGACTGGGTCAAAGAAACCAGAATCCATGGCGGCCAGCCTGTCATTGTCATTGTCATGGTGACTCAAAATACTGTAATGGTCAGATGACGGATGGATGTTGTCGGGCAGGCACTTTGGTTCGGAATCTGTACGCACTAAAAAAAATCGCAGGCTGGCCGTGACGCGAATGCACATCGCGGTGCGGAGCCAGAAAAGCGATGCTGCAAGCCATCCCGTCCCGTGTGCTGACATTCGCGGAAGCTGCTGCCCCCCCAACCGTTTTCGCCTTCGTCTTCGCTTACCCGTCTGTGCAACTTTCGGATAAGAGAACCCAACTAAACCGCATGCAAAGAACAGAAAGCACCTCCCAACCACACAGTTTTGGTGTATAACCGCAGATTGGTGGTCTTCCTTCCACTCACTGCCCATACCTTGCACGCTCCACCGCACCCCACGTCTATAGGTCGACGGCGCATCCTAAACCAGAGAATATATATATATTCCTCTCCAGTGCTGCTCATTTCAAAAAGTGTCGCGCGAATTCCCGTGATGCATGGCAAGCAGTGACAAAGGTGTCTCAACTGCTTGCGCAACTGACGGCTAATGCCGAAAAACCTTGCGAGCACTAACCTTGCGAGCACTCTAAGCACCCGTCGTCTCTCCATCGCGGAAAAGGAAAATGTCGAATTTGGGGGTCCGAAGGTTTTTCTACGAAAAGCCTGCGTCTGTGTTGCGCGAAGCGTCCAAAAAACAACGCACGCGAAACGCGACATTCCGTACACCAGTACCGGATGTTTTCACGGACACAAAACCGTCACCCGAAAGTTGCATTCCCGTCAACACTTTCGCGTCAATCGGTTTTGCGCGTTCGAGAGAGTTTGCAAGCGGTAATGCAGAGTAACAAATGACAGTGGGATGTAACCACACAATTTACGAAACAAACCGACCCCACGAATCTTCACGAAATCCAGCGAGGTTGCATAACTGGATACATTGTTTTCGTTTTTTTCTCAGATCTGAACTCCAACCACCCAAACAAAGCCACGGACGCTAGATGGTTCTTCAGGGGTGTGACGTGTGAGCCCAAATATCATTTATAACCAATCACTGTCAAACAACACATGCCATCTTGAACACGTCAGCACGCCCAGCCTATCCAAACCAAATCAAACGCCCACCTCATACAGTTGTTCCGTCCACCCCGTTGCAGACCACGCAGATTCCCAGCATTCACGCACTTATTATCACCTACGCCCACAGAACACACATTTCGGACTGCAAGTCTCTTCAACTTCTGCACACTCTTTTCGTAATCTCCGCACTCCTCGTCCAACCCTTCTTAACTCCGAGTTCCTTCAAGCCCACAGCCAGACTGTGTGAGAACGTCGAGACTATGTTGCCTTGCGCGAACATAGTATCGTTAATTCTATTTTTTTTTTTCAATCGTCCATACGCATGTCTGTCCGTTTTTCACATCCCTCCCCTTTTCAGGCGGCAGCTCCGGCCAACTATTGACGACGCGCTGCTGGGGTACATGAGAGTCGCGCAAAGGAAGGCCATTGTTGCGCAACACGCCAGGTACGTTTACAGTTCTGATCTTGCATGTGAAGCTGTCTTTATTTTATTTTATTGTGCAGTTTCTATTTGTTTATGTTCACGTTTTTCCTAGTGCGACATATAACTGTATATGTCTTGCTCGCCGTTTCGCCGTTTCCAGTTACCGTGTCGCTTCGGTTTAACGCATTGCTCCTCTGTGCAGCCCCATTTCACGTTAACTTCTCGTATGCCTCGTTTCCAGCTCGTTCCTTTATCACGCTTATTCTGGACAGCTAAGTCTGCTGCAATCGTTGTGTTTAGTCCCGCTGCGATTGACTGTCCTAAGGGTATGTATTCTTGTGTCAAGCAAAATTTGCTATTACTAACCCATCTGAAGCAATGTCAGCGCGATACGTAACAGCACGCTGTGTTTGCATATGTTGCAGAGCGTGCCTGGTTTTGCAGGTTTACAGTGAACCATTTGTGCAGTATTTTTATATTTCAGCAGGGTTGCATACTCCAGTCGTAAGAACTCCATAGGTGAGCATATAGTTTTGCTTGTTTATGAGGTTTCTATTTCCTTCGTTCTTCGAGGTTACATTCGTTTTCTGCCTGGCAGAGTGTGCAGGGCTTCTTAGCTATGGATTATGCGTAGTGTATTATGGGTACATTGTACGTTCTTATACTGGTATAATTTGTATGCCCTGTCAGATGAACTTGTTACAGTAAACTTTTTTTTTTTACCAAAAACGCACACCAATATAGGAGATTCGTCAAACGGAACCATGAAATCGCCAGCCAATGAATTTCGAAACCGCGCACCCCATTTCGTGCCCGATTGGTCCACGTGGCACGATTAAGAGCGTTGATATTGTCAGGATCCAACGGCTGTAGGTAGCTTACAGGAACTGCCACGTCAACATGTTTCAGTTTCATCTGGCGTACATCGTATGCCACGTGGCGTTGTCGTGACACTTTCGCATGGGTTGCCCAAGAATGACGTTTTCCACCTCCATAGTTGCATTACCGTATACCTCACAACTGCACCGAAGTGTACAGTTTGTGTTGGGAATGTGACGGGAAAGTCACTTCGCAAGTTACTGACGCTACCACTGTTGTCGAGTCAAACTTTTTTCTTCGGCGGGAAATGCAACTGGAAATTTACGAAACAGTAACTTTTAGGTTTTTTTTCGCACTTCCCTTTTCCGCGATGTCCCCCCCGTCGGCTCCGCGCAACGAGAGGCGAGAGCGCCGCTCCGTTCTCCTCCTCTTCTGTCCGCCCGCGAACCTCGTCTCCCCCTCTGCACGCTGCGCCTCCGCCACTCTCGCGCTGCGTTTCCCGTTGACGCGCCGATAGCCACGCCGATAGCCACGCCGATAGCCACGCCGATAGCCACGCCGATAGCCACGCCGATATCCGCGCGGATAGCCACGCCGATAGCCACGCCGATAGCCACGCCGATATCCGCGCGGATAGCCACGCCGATATCCACGCCGATAGCCACGCCGATAGCCACGCCGATAGCCACGCCGATAGCCACGCCGATAGCCACGCCGATAGCCACGCCGATAGCCACGCCGATAGCCACGCCGATAGCCACGCCGATAGCCACGCCGATATCTGCGCGGATAGCCACGCCGATAGCCACGCCGATAGCCACGCCGATATCCGCGCGGATAGCCACGCCGATAGCCACGCCGATAGCCACGCCGATAGCCACGCCGATAGCCACGCCGATAGCCACGCCGATATCCGCGCGGATAGCCACGCCGATAGCCACGCCGATAGCCATGCCGATATCCGCGCGGATAGCCACGCCGATAGCCACGCCGATATCCGCGCGGATAGCCACGCCGATAGCCACGCCGATATCCGCGCGGATAGCCACGCCGATATCCGCGCGGATAGCCACGCCGATATCCGCGCGGATAGCCACGCCGATATCCGCGCGGATAGCCACGCCGATATCCATGTCGTCCACGACTCCCGGCCGCGCTCCGCGCACCACCCGCCGACTTCCCGTCGCGCGTGCCTCCGCGCGCCCCAAGCCGCCCGGCACCGCGGCGCGCGCGCTCCTCGTCGCGTTCTTCGCAGCGGCAGCCATCACGCGTCTCGCGGTAGTACCAACGGCGGCTGCGGCGGCGGCGTCGTGGGGGCCGGCGTGCGTGAACGGGTTTCCGAAGCGCGCGCTGTGCCGCTTCGTGGACGACTTGGCGGCGTCCCCGCTGGTGGAGGTGGACGGCGCGACGGGCAGCGCCATCACCATCGGCGTGTTCCAGAAACACATCGTGAGTTTAGTAGAAACGCCTGCGGTGGGCCTGCACGAAGGGTTACTAAAGGCCAGCGGTTAGTGAAGGTCAACCGCCGCTCCTCTGATCAAATACTTCCCGTTTTGCCAAGTGTGCGGCTTTAACGCATCCTGCTTGCACCTCGTTCCCCCTGCATGCGTGCGGCTAACGCATGCTTCTCTCTCCTCCTCCGACCCCCAATTGTCTCCCTTTCCTGCCCCTCACCCGTCCCTTCCCCCCCACCTCCCCCCGGCTGGTCGGTGTGCAGAAGTTTCATCGCGACCTGCCAGCAACGAAGCAGTATGTGTTCGGTGTGAACCATAGTCGATTCAGAAGTCACCTTTCCTGCCCCTCACCCTTCCCTTTCCCACACCCCTACTACGCCCCCCCCCCCCCCCCCCCCCCCCCCCCCCCCCCCCCCCCCCCCCCCCCCCCCCCCCCCCCCTGGTCGGTGCCGGCGAGCAGAAGTTTCACACGCCCACCACGGTAGGCCGGCACACGCCCACCACGGTAGGCCGGCACACGCCCACCACGGTAGGCCGGCACACGCCCACCACGGTAGGCCGGCACACGCCCACCACGGTAGGCCGGCACACGCCCACCAAGGTAGGCCGGCACACGCCCACCACGGTAGGCCGGCACACGCCCACCACGGTAGGCCGGCACACGCCCACCACGGTAGGCCGGCACACGCCCACCACGGTAGGCCGGCACACGCCCACCACGGTAGGCCGGCACACGCCCACCACGGTAGGCCGGCACACGCCCACCAAGGTAGGCCGGCACACGCCCACCACGGTAGGCCGGCACACGCCCACCACGGTAGGCCGGCACACGCCCACCACGGTAGGCCGGCACACGCCCACCAAGGTAGGCCGGCACACGCCCACCACGGTAGGCCGGCACACGCCCACCACGGTAGGCCGGCACACGCCCACCAAGGTAGGCCGGCACACGCCCACCACGGTAGGCCGGCACACGCCCACCACGGTAGGCCGGCACACGCCCACCACGGTAGGCCGGCACACGCCCACCAAGGTAGGCCGGCACACGCCCACCACGGTAGGCCGGCACACGCCCACCACGGTAGGCCGGCACACGCCCACCACGGTAGGCCGGCACACGCCCACCAAGGTAGGCCGGCACACGCCCACCACGGTAGGCCGGCACACGCCCACCACGGTAGGCCGGCACACGCCCACCAAGGTAGGCCGGCACACGCCCACCACGGTAGGCCGGCACACGCCCACCACGGTAGGCCGGCACACGCCCACCACGGTAGGCCGGCACACGCCCACCACGGTAGGCCGGCACACGCCCACCACGGTAGGCCGGCACACGCCCACCAAGGTAGGCCGGCACACGCCCACCAAGGTAGGCCGGCACACGCCCACCACGGTAGGTCCACGTGCGTGTGTGTGCTGGTGTGCGCACGTGTGTGCGTGTATGTGTGCGTACGTGCGTGCGTGTGTGTGTGTGTGTGTGCGTGTGTGCGTGTGTGTGTGTGTGTGTGTGTGTGTGTGTGTGTGTGTGTGTGTGTGTGTGTGTGTGTGTGTGTGTGTGTGTGTGTGTGTGTGTGTGTGTGCGTGTTTGTGCTGGTTTGCGCACGTGTGTGCGCGTGTGTGTGCTGGTGTGCGCATGTGTGTGCGCATGTGTGTGCGTGTGTGTGTGTGTTCGCATGTCTGTGCGTGTGTGTGTGTGTTCGCATGTGTGTGCGTCTGTGTGTGTGTGCGCATGTGTGTGCATGTGTGTGTGTGCGCATGTCTGTGCGTGTGTGTGTGTGTGTGCGTGTGTGCGTGTGTGTGTGTGTGTGCGTGTGTGTGCGTGTGTGTGTGTGTGTCTGTGTGTGTGTGTGTGTGTGTGTGCGCACGTGTGTGCGTGCGTGTGTGTGCGCATGTCTGTGCGTGTGTGTGTGTGTGCGCGCACGTGTGTGCGTGTGTGTGTGCGCGCATGTCTGTGCGTGTGTGTGTGTGTGCGCACGTGTGTGCGTGTGTGTGTGTGCGCATGTCTGTGCGCGCGACTTCCATCTCTAAGCCCCAGTGGCTCTCCCGATCCGTTCCCCCTACCTTCCTCCCACGCCCCTTCTTCCATCCCTCCCCCGTGCTGCCGCCATGCACACATCGGTCCCGCACTTGATGGCGGCAGGTGCGGTGGGAGAAACACCCTCTACCCTCACTCCCCCTCCTTCCTTCCCTCCCACACGTGATAATGGCAGGTGCAATGGGAGAATCACCTCCCTTGATCCTGTCTCCGCTCCTTCCTTCATTCCCTCCCATGTGGTGGTGGTGGCAGGTGCGGTGGGAGAATCATCTGACTGACCAGCAGCACATGCTGGGAGTCGACTATTCGCTCCCACACGTTCCCCGCCCCCCCCGCGGCGGCATTCCCATCGGTTGGTGCAAACCTCCTCCTCTATCGCTCCCCTGCTCTCTCCCCCACCCTCTCCCCCCTCCTCTTCCCCTTCCTCTCCCCATTTCCATCACAATCCTTACCTTCCGCTCTCTTCCTGTCTGCCCATCCTGCTTGCCCATCCTGCTTGCCCATCCTGCTTGCCCATCCTGCTTGCCCATCCTGCTTGCCTGCCCATCCTGCCTGCCCTTCCTCCCTTCCCTGCCTGCCTGCCCTTCTCCCGGCACACATTAGCTCCTTGCTGGGTAGCTCACTCCCTCCCATGCTTGCGCTGCTCTTACCCGCATGCTCTTGCACACACACACACTGTGTCATCCCATGCTTCTATTCCTACATGCCCGTATTTCCCGTCTGTTTTGCCCCTTTTCTTCGCCCCCCTTCCGCTCCCTCCTCTTCTTCCATTTCTCACCCCTTCCCCCTTTTCCTCCCCGCTTCCCCCTTTTTCTACCCCCTTCCTCTCTTTTCTCCCCCTTTCCCCACCTTTCTCCCCACTTCTCTCCCCATCCCGCCTTCTCCCCGTGCCCCCATCTCCCCCTCCCCCACGCAGCCCCCCACCTGCACGGCGGAGAGGTCCCAAGCCATTCCGACGGCCACCCGCACGCGTGGTTCACGCAGCACGGCGACACCGGCTCTTCTTTCGCCTCCGCCACCACCACCTACCCCAACTCCCAACCACCCACCCTCCTCTGGTTGCACGACCACGCCATGGGATACACGCGCCTCAACACCGCTGCAAGCATGGCGGGGCTGTACCTAATCAGGGACCCTGCGGGGGTGGAGCAGGGCATGGGCGGGTGGTTGCCGCGAGGCGAGTTTGACGTACCGCTTGTGGTGGCGGACCGGCAGTTCCGGAAGGATGGGAGCGTGGTGTATGGCGGAGGGATGGGCATGGGCATGCCCATGGAGAGCTTTGGGAATGTGAATGTGGTCAACGGGAAGGTGAGGCAGGGTGAGGTTGGGCGAGGTTGGGTCAGGTTGGGCGAGGTTGGACTTGCCGCTTGTGGTGGCGGACCGGCAGTTCCGGACGAATGGGAGCGTGGTGTATGGCCGTGCATGACCGTGAAGCACCACCTGCACCACCTGCACCACCTGCACCACCTGCACCACCTGCACCACCTGCACCACCTGCACCACCTGCACCACCTGCACCACCTGCACCACCTGCGCCCTGTGAGGCACCTCTAAAGCTCCCCCACGCCCACATCACACCGCCTCCCCCAACTCCCCCCTCAACCATATCTTCCGACTCCCCCGTTTCCCCTGCCAAGTGTGGCCATACATGACGGTGAAGCCCCGCCAGTACCGCCTGCGCCTGCTGGGGGCCCCGCCCCTCCCCTCGCCTCCCATCTCACCAGCTCCTTTTCTTCTTCCCCCCCCAATCACCCCTTCTCGACTCCTGTGGCAGGTGTGGCCATACATGAGGGTGAAGCCCCACCAGTACCGCCTGCGCCTGCTGGGGGCGGCCAACTCACCTCCCATTTCCTTTTCATCTCCTCCTCCCCCCCAACCACCTCTTTGGACTCCCCCCTTTCCCCTGCCAGGTGTGGCCGTACATGACGGTGAAGCCCCGTCTGTACCGCGTGCGACTGCTGGGGGCGGCCAACTCGCGAGTGTACCGCCTGCGCTTCCAGTGCGCCGCCCAGACCGACTACTTCCAGTGCGCCGCCCAGACCGACTACTTCCAGTGCGCCGCTCAGACCGACTACCCGCACCTCCTGCCGCCACTGCACGGCCCCACTCTCCCCGTGCTCCAGGTGCATTACATGATTCTGTCGGTTTGCGTTGCCTTGAGGTGTGGGCTTTTGGGGCTTGCTTCCACTGTGCTTCGCTCACTGGGGCTTGATTCGCACCCCATGCACTCCTGTGCGCGCCCATGCACTCCTGTGCGCGCCCATGCACTCCTGTGCGCGCCCATGCGCTCCTGTGCGCGCCCATGCACTGCTTGTGCATCTGAGAAGGCGGTTCTTCCCCGCGCCATGCAGGAATCATATCTGATCTTGCTCGATCCGTCCGTGCCATTTGGATGCATGTGACCTGGATTCATGTGCTGCCACATCCGCCACATCCGCCACATCCGCCACAACCCCCTCAACCCTTCCCCTACGTCCTGCCCCCCATCCCTCCCAACCACCACCAGATCGCGTCAGACGGAGGGTATCTAGCAGCGCCCCTGTGCCGCTCATCAATCCTGCTGGCCCCCGGGGAGCGAGTGGACGTGCTGCTGGACCTCTCCTCGCTGCCCTCGCCCTCCTCCCCCTGCCGCCACATCCTCCTCATCAACACCGCGCCCACCCCCTCCATGGGTGGCATGGGCGGCATGGGCAGCAAGAGTGGCATGGGCGGCATGGGCGGCATGGGTGGCATGGGCCGCGCAGCTCGTGGTGGGGCCAGTGGCAAGGCGACGGGTAGCACGGGGAGGGGGGTGGGGAGCGCGGTGGTAGGTAGAGCAGTGGGGGGAGGGCGGTGGGAGGGAGGGCGGTGGGGCGGAGCAAGGTGCTGACGGCAGCACAGGGCGTGGCGACGGTGATGCTGCTTGAGGTGCTGCAGGAGGGGGCTGTGGCGCTGCCCGCTGTGCCCGCTGCCCTGCAGGTGCGGTGGGAATCTGAGTCGTACAGATGGGGTTGATGGGACTGTGTGGGCCCGCTGTGCCCTCTGCTCTGCAGGTACTTTGAAGCGTGCTGCTGCTGTTTCCTCTCAATCTCTGTACCCCACTTCTACTCCCTCCCCCTTTCTCGCCCTCTCCCTCACCTTCTGCTCTTCTCGTTCCCACCTCCTCTCCTCTGTACCTCCTCCCCTCTGTGCCTCACTTCCCTCGTTTTCCTTCCCATCTTGCTCATTTCCCCCCTCGCGTTGACCCCCCGCCCCGCGCTTCTCCCTCCCCCACCCCTGCCCTCAGTCTATACCCCCGATTGACCTCTCGAAAGTGTCTCGAGTGTGCTACCTCACTCTATCCAGCACCATGGATGATATGGGCGGCGGAATGGGCGGTGGAATGGGGGGCAAAATGGGCGGCATGGGGATGGGCATGGGGGGGGGCGGGATGGGAGGGGGAGGGAAAGCGGGAGGGGGGGGAGGAGGCATGGGGGGCGGGGGCGGCATGGGGGGCGGCGGGGGCGGGGGGATGTCAATGATGCGGTTCACAATCGATGGGAAGGGCTTCATGGATACTCCCACAGAGGTGGCTGCAGTGGGCGAGTCGGAGCTCTGGCACCTTGTGAACCCCGGCGCGCACATGCACCCCATCCACATCCACCTCGTGCAACACCGCCCCCTCTCCCGCCGCCCGTTCCACGCCGCAGCGTTCCTCAACGGCTCCTGCGCGCTGAGCGGTGGCAGTAGCGGCAAGCCGAGCTGCTATACGGGGGGTGAGGAGGCGGTGGGGGCGTGGGAGAGCGGGTGGAAGGACACGAGTCTGTCGCTGCCGGGTCAGGTGCTGACGCTGTTTGTGAGGTTCGCCGCGCAGGATGGGTCGGCGTTTCCGTTTGACGCGAGTGCAGGGCCGGGGTATGTGTGGCACTGTCACATGCTGGAGCATGAGGAGAATGACATGATGCGCCCTCTGCTTGTCACTGCTTGATGAAACTCGAACGTGACGGGCTGATGTTGTACCTATTGTGCAGTTACTTGTTATTTTGTTGTGTGCCATGGGCATGAGTGAATCGAGTGCGGTGTTTTGGCTTGCTCTCCTGGGCCAGCTTTCCATGTAACAGCTCGGGCTCCTTTTGTGTGAGAGCGCAGAGAGAGTTGGCACAAAAAGGAGAAGGAAGCACACGCTACCACTCAACAAGCTTTCACAGAGAGCCATCACATCACATGCTCTTGAAACATCCTGCTGTCCAGACTGAAGCTCCTACAGGCTTGGACGAAGCAGCACTGCACTGATTGCCCCCGTACACCAGTCAGTGCGCGTGCTAACACCGCCATGCATAGCCGCCCGAGACTAATGAAGCCAGCCTTGCATCAGGGAGAAAACGGCCCTGGTCCGCCCATCCCGCCGCCCATCCCGCCGCCCATCCCTCTCCCCATCCCTCCGCCCATCCCTCCGCCCATCCCAGGTCCACCCTGGCCGGGTGCTGCCTGCGACCCTGGAGCAACCCACCCTGACCCGCCCATGCCTCCGCCGCCCATGCCTCCGCCGCCCATGCCTCCGCCGCCCATGCCTCCGCCGCCCATGCCTCCGCCGCCCATTTCGCCGCCACCCATGCCACCGCCGCCCATGGCACTGCCGCCCATGCCACCACCGCCCATGTTCCCCCCAGGGCCCATGGCTGATTGTGATCCAGGAGCAGAGGACCCAGGTCCGCCCATGCCGCCACCCATGCCACCACCACCCATGCGGCCGCCGCCCATTGCGCCGCTGCTCATTCCGCCTCCGCCCATGCTGCCGCCGCCCATGCCTTCCCCAGGACCCATGGATGCTTGTGATCCGGGAGCAGAGGAACCAGGGCCGCCCATGCCCCCTCCCATTCCGCCACCACCCATGCCGCCGCCGCCGCCCATTCCGCCGCCGCCGCTCATTCCGCCACCGCCCATTCCGCCGCCACCCATGCCGCCGCCGCCCACTCCGCCGCCGCCCATCCCGCCGCCACCCATGCCGCCTCCGCCCATTGCGCCGCCGCCCATTCCTCCACTGCCCATTCCGCTACCACCCATGCCGCCGCCACCCATGCCGCCGCCGCCCATTCCGCCGCCGCCCATTTCTCCGCCGCTCATGCCGCCGCCGCCCATTCCGCCGCCACCCATGCCACCGCCGCCCATTCCGCCACCGCCCATGCCGCAGCCGCCCATTCCGCCCGTGCCCATTCCGCCACCACCCATCCCGCCGCCGCCCATTCCGCTCCCGCCCATTCCGCCGCCGCCCATGCCGCTGCCGCCCATTCCGCCGCCGCCAAATCCGCTCCCGCCCATTCCGCCGCCGCCCATACTGGTCCTACCCATTCCGCCGCTCTGCTGCTGCTGCTGTGGCTGCTGGCCGGTCGAGCGTCCGCCTTGCGCCCATCCGCGCATCATCCCGCGGAGCTTGTCCGCGCGGATCCCTGAAGATAAGCGATAGGCCAGCGTGGAGTGGAGAGACGAAACCAGAACAAGCGAGAGTAGGAGAAAGGCCGTGCTTAGGTTACGGCGACGACACTGGCGCAGCGAAAGCGAGTCTGTGTGCGTCATTGTGCTGGTGTTGCCTACGGTGCAGCTGAAGTTCCACGGAGACACGATTTTAGCTGCCTTTGGTGCTTGGAGATGGGAATTTGGGCCAACGAATGTTGAAATCTTTCGAGTATGATCTGCCAAATGTGTCCCTCTCCCAAAGCATTTGTACTCTCGTCGTGTCGCAAGGCGCAAATGCTCACGCCAGCCGAAGGTCTCTGCGCGGCGCGAGGACTCAGTGGGAGGAACGAAATCGACCAATGAATGGACAGAGCTACACCATCGAGTCAAAACAAGAAATCGAGTCAACATCCCGTAAAAATTTGTTGACCACTTGCTTCAGTCAACAACCGACTTTTCCGCCCATTGAACGATTCGCGAAGAAACTGGAATCTCCGATTGCATTCAATTTCGATTACTGAACGATGTTTCTCTATCACTTCAAATCGCGGAGTTTTTTAACTCGTGTTAAAACATGTCCGTTTTTATATTCTAGGCCGACTTTTCTCTTGCACAAGACACCTAGTTTTCTCTTGCACAGGATTTGCTGTATCCTAACACTACAAGTCATGTAATACGAATTATGAGAGCCGTACAGCTACAAAGAGATTGAACCCACACGTCCATCCATAAACCTTGCGCGTAGTCTCCGAGCACTACCGGTAACACACAAAAAGGTTACTCGAATTTCCAGCAGTTCAGTTAAAGCCTATGACGTGGCGCCTTGCAGGTCGGCAGCAACAGAGGCCTCCATGGCTCCCTGCGCTGACAGGGCCTTCTTCACCGTCTCCTCCACACGCCTCCTCAGGCCCTTGTAGGGCAGCTTGTCCACCACCTGATTGGCGGAGAAGAGAGGGGGAGGGAGGGGAAGGGAGGGAGTGGAGAGGATGTAGAGTAAGGTTAGCACCACACAGTGCCTTCTTCACCGTCGAGATGGGGGGCAGCTTGTTCACCAGATGGGGGGAGGAGAATGGGAAGTGTAGGGTAGCAGATGGGGAGGATGTAGGGCAAGCTGGGCACCACACAGGGCCTCCGCCCCCTTCCCTCCGTCCCCTTCCCTCCGGCCCCACTTCCCCTCTCCTCCCAACCCCGTCCGTCCCTCCACTCGCCTCAGCAGCGAACGAAAAGACAAGGGCAAAGTGAGCAGTCATCTGGTCGGGCGTGCGGAAGTAGAAGAGCTGCTCGTCGTCCAGGTCGCCGATGGCCTCCCTGTCTTGTCTCACTCCATCCCCCCCCATCCTTCCCCAACCAGTCCATCTCGCCACTCACCTCGGCAGCAAAGGAGAAAACAAGGGCAGACCGAGCAGTCATCTGGTCAATGCCCCGGGTGCGGAAGTAGAAGAGCTGCTCGTCGTCCAGGTCACTGATGGCCGCGCAGTGAGTGCCCCTGTCCACTCTCCCCCGTCTCACTCCATTCCTCCCAATCCCACCCTGGCCTGGCCCACTCACCTCGGCAGCAAAGGAGAAAACAAGAGCAGATCGCGCAGTCATCTGGTCGATCCCGCGCGTGCGGAAGTAGAAGAGCTGCTCGTCGTCCAGGTCGCTGATGGCCTCCCTGTCTCACTCTCCCATCTCTCACCCCATCCCCCCCAATCCCACCCTGGCCCACTCACCTCAGCTGCAAACGAGAAGACCAGAGCAGAGCGCGCAGTCATCTGATCAATCCCGCGCGTGCGGAAGTAGAAGAGCTGCTCGTCGTCCAAATCGCTGATGGCCGCGCCGTGCGTGCACTTGACGTCGTCTGCTATGATCTGCAGGTTGGGCTTCACGTTGATGGTGCCGCGGGGGACCAGCAGGAGACTGCGTGACAGCTGCCCTGCATCCGTCTGCTGGGCGAGCCTGGTGGGTGGAGGGAGGAGGGAGGGTGCAAATGGGAAGAGAAACACGCACTTGACGTCGTCTGCTATGATCTGCAGGTTCGGCTTCACGTTGATGGTGCCGCGCGGGACCAGCAGCAGGCTCCGGGAAAGCTGCCCTGCGTCCGTCTGCTGGGCGAGCCTGGGGGGGTTGATGGATGGGAGTGAGAGAAAGGGTTAGTCGGTGTGACCAAGGAGGGGAGCAGGAAGAAGTGGATGCGAGACACTTAACAGTTGTTGTAAACCTGAGGAAGAAACAAGAAAATCTTGAAAATTTTCCAAGGGTGCGACAATGGCAGCGGCAACACTTGACATCACCTGCTTCAATCAACCAATTGGCTGCTGGATTGCTGGTGGGGTTGGAGGGATGGGAAGCAGTGTGATGACGGGAGAGACAGGGGAGAGCAAGTAGCAGCAGACAGTCACACTCGTTTGCCCAGTGAAACCCACTTGTTGACCTTCACGTTCCCATCAAACACGCACTCGATCCCCGCCAACACACTCGTTCACACACAGTTGTTAACACACCCCGCCCCATGCACTTGTTCACACACTCACGAATTTACTGAACCCGGCCCCAACACACTCGACCAGAGCCACGTGCAGACTCAAATCAACAGCCAGTCGAACCCGCTCACTTGTTGACCTTGGCGTTGCCGTCAAACACGCACTGCCCCATCGCGTCAGACACGATGCACTTGGCCCGGCTGACCCATTTCCTTAGACCCATTCCCTTTAACCCACTCTAACCCCCACCCACATTTGAGGCGCCTCGAAACTCACTTGTTGACCTTCACATTCCCGTCGAACACGCACTGGCCCGTGGCGTCACACACAATGCACTTGTGCAGCTGCCGAGTCACCTTGACCCACTCCCATTAATCCACTCTACAGGCACCGCGTTTGAGGCGTCCCTTCAACTGATTTCACCAAGTTGAACCCACTCACTTGTTGACTTTCACGTTCCCGTCGAACACGCATTGCCCCGTGGCGTCAGACACGATGCACTTGTGCAGCTGCCGAGTCACGCCCCCCGGGAAATCCAGCACGAGGCTACTGTGCAGATCCTGCACCTGCCTACCGCCCGCCAGCGCGAACGTGTCGACGTGCGTCTCTGTCTTCTCGCCCAGCTGCTGCATCTTCAGGTTATGCCTGGATATGTGCGCCGCCCCCAGCTGCGCCTCCACCAGGGAATACTTGCTGCTCTCCTCCTGGTGTGGTGCGATGCGGGGGGCATGGGTGAAAGGGGTAGGAGCAAAGGAGCAGAAGGGGCTTGGTGGGTGTTACAGCAAGAGCAATCACGTTTGACGGTCTAATTTCTACTTGTGCCTGGATAGCGCCGCCCCCAGTTGCGCCTCTACCAGAGAGTACCTGCTGCTCTCCTCCTCGTGCGGTGGGATGTGGGAGTGTGGGTGAAAGGGGTAGGATCAAGAGACGGGGGGAGGAGGGAAATGCGGCAGAGGCAAGGGAAGGGGAAGGGGAAGAGAGGGAGTGGAAGGGAGGGAGTGGAGGGAAGAGGGTTGCATTTGGGTGAGAGGGGGTGCGAGGGAACGGAAGCCTATTCCCACCACAATGCACTGTACGCACTGTACGCACCTGTGCAACGAACGTTCTCTTGATATTGAAGCAGTCTTTAGCGGGTTGGTTCTGGATCACCGCGTGGCTCACGCTACCCTCCGCGCCAATCACAATCTCCGCCACCGCGTTCACCCACTCCCCCTTTCCCCCGCCCGCGGAAACTCCCCCCACGAACTCCTCCACGACCTCCACTTCCGCGCCCGCTTCCGCCACGACCAGCAGGCGCGGGGAAGCGGGGGCGGGGGAGGCGGAAGAGGAGGCGTAGACGATGTGGATGGGGTGGTTCGGGAGCTTGACGTTAGCGGGGACGGCAATAACGAGGACGTCCGCGGCGGAGGCGCCGTTCAGCGCGGCGAAGAGATCCGCTTGCGCGGCGAACCTGAGGGTGGGGGCGAGAGGACAGAGAAAACGGAGGTGGATAGAGGCAGCTGAGGGAACGGAAGAGAACTGATGGCCTGGGGCGTCTGCAGGATGGTATACTGGGACCGACAGAGAGACTTGAAGGGACTTGTAATGAGCTGGCTGTGAAACGGCAGGTATTGTTCGGCATAGGGGTAATGGAGGATGGGAGTGTCAGGGGTAATGGAGGATGGGAGGGGAGAAATGTTGGAAAATGCAACCTGGTCCGTTACCAACCAAACACAACATGAAGCCTCACTCTCTTCGAGCCTCGTAAAGCCTCTTTTTCCTGCCCCAGCAGCCATGTGTTTTCTTGCTTTAGTTTGCATTCAATCATCTTGTGCTCGTTCTTCCTCTTCGTTCGTTTTCAATCCCACACAGACCTGTGCAAACACCCACCTGCCGAGGTTCGGCGAAACAAATCGCTCCACTTCGTCCGCATTCAGCTCACTCAACAGCTTCACCGTCATTTGCGCCGGAATTCCCGTCAAATCCGACAGCTCCGGCCGGATAGCGCCGTCGAGCACAACGAGACGGCTGTTCTTGGCCTCCTCGAGCGTGTATTCCGCTAGAACGTCTGCTGAAACCACCTGCGACTCGGACCCTGTCGCAGCGCCTTCTAAAGCCTTATCGAGTATCGCGCGCAGAGATTTTAGGTCTGTGAAGCGGAATTCCTCATCCTTGCGGCCCGGCCACCGCAGAACACGGGCTGCTTCTGCAGAAACATTTCTGAGCTGCCCGAGAGCGGCAGCCGCAGAGAATGCGGCGTCTGACGGGGCAGGAAGGGAATACTTCGCAACGAGGCTCTGCACGAAAGTGTCGCTAGGGCCGACGGAAGTGACGATCGCAGCGGCGGCGTTCGCGTCCGCTTGGTCCCTAAGCGACGTCGGCGACGGTTGCGACGACTGTGCGACTGTTGCGACGAGAGCGGGCGACGAGCGCGCGAATCTCCTGCGTGAAGGAGCAGCAGTGACGGCTCTCTTGCCAATCACAGGCTCATGACGGAGCAAGTCGGACTTGAGACTGGGAGCTGCCGAGCGAGATAATTGCGCGCTGAGGGCTGCCATGGTGGTAAATTGCTCAGAAGAGATGCTAGGCTAAAATTCGTGCAGCGGAGGTCGCACGACGACTGTGTCAATGAGAAATGCTCAGTCGCTTGAGCGGCAATGGCAGTCTCAATTCAACGAT